GCAAACTGTTAAAATTTCAAAGCAACTTTCAGCATTATAAATTATGGACCCAGTACTCACAGACATCTGCCAATTTATACTATTACATGACTGTCATTAGAACTGTGTGTACTGTCTGGTTTGGCCAGATTGTGCAAAATTGAAGAAAATAAATTAGACATTTTTATTGCAAATAATCTTGTCACATAAATCGAAAAATAAATCAATATTTAAATGAGATTATTCTAAATATTTTATAAGCTTTAGAAAGATATAAATAAATAAATTTGCATTGTATATATTGACTTTCCCAAGAAAATTTTTTTATTTATTTCAAAATCTCTTAAACCTTAAACCTTGTACTGTTTATCTGTAAAGCTACTGCCACTTTTGCTCCATCTAGTGGAACATTAATTTTTCTTCAGTAATAACAAAATACCTAATGTAACCTCTACCTTCTACAGACAGATATAATTTGTACTGCTATTACTTACTGTGAAATGACATTATATTTATGAAACAATTATTTTATTTAATTACATTTTACTACAAACATAAAACCATAGACTTTTATAAACACAATGTGGTAGATTTTTAAAAAGTAAATTTGCTACATTCTTTACTTTGCAAGAAGTAAATTACTTCATGTTCTTCAATTCTACTATTGAATAAGCACACAAATGCAGACTAGTCAACACAAGAAAGTTTGCATTTAGTAGAGAAGATTATTCTAATAGCAATTTCCGAAGTTACACAATTAATAACAAAGTCTATTTATAAGTTGTCGAAGGTAAAAGTTTGGAGGAAGTGAAGTGCTCTCCCTAAGCAAATAAAATTAACAAACCAGCAAGTTTTTTAAATTTTATTTTCTTCAAATGGGGTGTTTTTAAATAATTTTCTAAGTTAATAAATATATTACTGTTAATAATAAAATATCATTGTTCGCACTACACAAATATCTGCACAAATGTGTTTAACTCTTATTTTGGACAATGAATAACCGTTTATTAAAGTCATCATCCAAAAGGACAGGCATCTATTTGTTAGAAAGTTGATGGTGCCAAAGGCAGTATTTGCCTCTGATACTAACGTCTAGTGCAAAAATACAGTATACAATTTTCCTTTATTCTTCAGTCCCACCCCAAAGAGTCAAAAGTATTTCAAAGAGGTTTAATTTCCTCTTAAAAAAAAATTTTTTTTTTTTTGGAACTTTCTTGTCAGGAATGGAAAATTCCATGGCAGTCGTGGCCAGTAAAACTGTTCATATGTATGGTAGAACATTGCAGAGCTAACTCCATAGTGAAATTTGGCAGTGACCCATATGTATTAAAAGTGGAGTGTCCCCAACTTATTTGAAAATTTACCTACTTAAATTATCCCTCCAACCTATTGCAATTTGATTTATAATCTGCTGTTTCAACAGAATAAATGAACCCATTAAAAACAAACATACTGTAGATATTTATATCGGGAATAAAATTTCTCTGGGGAGGATGCAATTTATGGAAGCAGAAACATTGGAAGGAAGTAACAAATTGAGGTCCCGGTTTTCTAATGAAGGATTGGAAATTGAGTTCTGCTTAAACAAGCAGGAAAAATATGTGATTATTTTTCACTCGTTAGCATTTAAGTCAGTAGCAAGACATTTCACAAGTATTAGATAGATTTTTTTTTAAGTCAATAGATTTAGTAAAATTTTTAATAAGTTTAATTTTTCATAGTCACACGTGTAAGTAATGGATAAAAAGGCAGATGATCTGCATGTGATACACTATTTAACTATGATAAATAGAAATATCCGTCTATAACTTCAAGAGTAGATTATGACTAGGAGGGCTGCCCACTGGATTCCAGAAGAGCAAAACAGATGCAGGCTTGCCCAGAATCCGGTTCTTAGGACAGATGGACTTTTATTACACATGATGTTCTCTGTTCAACAGGCTTGTAAACAAGATATAATCTTGTCTATGATTAATATTTTCCCTTACATAAAGATTTGAAAGATACAGTGTGTAGTTTTTTTCTGTCAGTGTGGTATGTATGCTACTAATCTTCAGGATATTTCAAATTTTATATAATAATAAAATCAAGACCCTCAAATCAACATTGTTTTTCCTCAGTCTGCGTCCAGCGTTTCCATTACATGAATGGCAAAGTGGAAAAATATGTTCAGGGTTTCACTTTGATTTCCACAACTTCTTTTGTCAGAGGCCACATGCCTATTTGGAATTATTATCCAACGTGTAATTCCTCACAAACGAATTAACGACTGATATGCTACCATTTTTCTTGTAATCGTGTGTTTTAAGGACACGGCAAGTCCCTGTTGCTCATGCAGAAAATGAAATTAGTCCCTCGGAGAGGATACGATCAGTGCTGTGTTAATCTAACCTTCAGCTGTTAATGATTTGCACGAGGATTCCCCTTGATGCTGTGACTTCAACTGAAATATTGTTTTAAGAGTTTTTGTTAACCCACCTCTTCTTGTCTTTTGCCGAGATATGCAGTGGAGTAGATTCTGAGGATCAGCTTTCCTTCTCTACTTACATCTGTTGTTTTGTTTTGTTTTTTTTAAGTAGCAACAAAATAAACAAAACTATTTTTGAATTTCATTTTCAGATAATTTGCTTTGTTGAGATCTTTTAGAAAAAGGGCTATAAAGGGTAAAATCCATTGCAAAACTTACAAAATTATCTACCTTTCATAATTTAGAATTGCTGTTCACATTTATAAGAACAAAAAAGAAGCCATTTGCTGTTGTCATTCAAAATACAAATTCAAGTTCACAACCTTTTACCTTTTGTTTTAAAGGGCACCAGAGTTAAAGAACTAACTCTCTCTCTCTCTCTCTCTCTCTCTCTCCCATCCCTACCCTCTCCCTCCCTGTAACCTCCCTCCCTCTCCTCATCTTCCTCATGCTTTGGTGTTTGTTTTCAACAAAAATATAGTTCTGATTCTTATATATCCTGTTATAACTCTGTACATTTTTAAAATCACACTGCTAAACAGAAATATAGGGCTAAGGGTGAAGATTATGTTTCTAGTAGTTACAATGTTATGGTAAGAGAACAATCTAATTTCACTTTTAACCAAAGTGAAACTTGAAAAAGTAAAAGTAACGCTGAAGCATTCATTCAACTTGATTTCTCCTTGATTTTTTAATAAATCCCTTTTGATTCAACAAAATATGTGATCCATAATCGCAACGGGAGAGTACTTCTCAGCTATCAAGTTATATTTATAGTTATCGGTTGTCCGATTCTGATAAACCTATACACTTAACTTATTCAGAATGAACTAGTAGCCAGGCGGGTATTTTTCAATAACCAAATCTACCCATCTCTTGAGTATGTTGAATGTATTTCTTGTTCAATTCTATTCAAGGGAGTCATGGAATAGAGGAAATTATGCATAATTGTAATTGTTATTTAGGGTATTCTGTGAATTAACTGTTAATAACATGAAATATTATCCTCTGATTCTGAAAACAATGTGCAACCATTCGAATAGTTTTTCAGAGAGTAATTATTATTATAATTATTGTCTTTTTCATGGTAACATTTATGAAATGATTTTACTTTTAGGTTTACTTCCTAATTAAACAAGTTTCTGCAATTGTATGAAATTATTTTCTTTTCTCAGATATCTTTAAGTTTTCTTGTTATTATTATTTTTTTTAAATCCACCTTGGTTTCCCACTGGGTGGTTCATTGAAACATTCCAAAGTAATGAGCACTGGTCAGAAGTAAAGTTCTTAAAACAATAAAAGAAGCAATGGGTGGGAAGCAGGAGTGAGAACAGTCATAAACAACACAAAGCATGGACTTCTAAGGAAATCTTAGCAGTTATATAATCTTATAAGATTATATCTTATATAATATAACCCTCTGCCTCTTTGGTAAATCTTCATTTACTGATGAACCTTCCATTCACTAGTTTCTCCTCTACACACATAATTTCCTCTTTCTAAAAAGTAGTTGGTCATTTATTATTTACTGTTGTTTGGTCTCTTTATCATTCAATATTATCATTAATATAACACTATAAAAATATTAATATATTTTTTAACTACAATGTACCAAACATTATTTCAGGCATAGGAGTTAATACTATGAAGAAAAAACACTTCTTGCTCTCAAATTGCATGCAAGGAAGGGCTGGGAAGAAAATGAGATGAGACAATGCCATGAGACAATTCTATATCTGGGGTAAGCAGGTAAGCACAAGTTCCATGGGACCATAATGAAGTGGTGTCTAACGTAGGGATGGAAAACAAATATGATTTGCTGAAGAGTGCGATTCTTTAAGAGAAATCTATGCCTAGACTTAAAAAAAAAATGAAAACCAAAATGAATCATATACATGGGTGCCTTTCCAAGCAGAAGGAACCCCATGTGACAGCTGGGCAATGGCAAGCAGTAGAGTAGAGCAAAAAAGGAACGAATATTGCAAAAGGGGGAAGGAGAATGAAGGGTGGATAGACCAAGGCCTCCATAGATCGGGAAAGGAATTTTTACACTATCTTCAGCAATAGGGAACCCATGAAGAGTTTCCACCAGATTCGCATTATGTAAATGTTTGGCTGCAAATGAAGTAGGACTAGAGACAGGGACAGCACGTAGGAGACCATTGCACTAATCCAGAGTTTTGTGTAATTTTGACCAGGGAGTGTCTGCTTACAAGATTGTTATAGCATGTGAATTGGCCTGAGGCAAAATTAATTTTCCAGTAGATAACTAAACCATAACTCAGGCTTGGGACTAAGGTAAGGCAAATGAAGCATACATCTTGGGCATGAAATTTAAGGGGACACCAATCAGCTCAGAAATTAAGATAAATAATATTTAGAGCAGCATTTTTTTTTAATGAATGCATAGAAAAATCCATCACGAACATCAAAATTTTAAATAATGACAATAACTGAACTTTTTGGAGATATATGTAAAAATAAACTAATTCCTTTTTCATCAAATTTGAGAATTTCAGTTTATTTCCTCAGTGTTGCTAACCAACTAACTCACCTTGGAAGCCGAGACAGAACACCGGCTGATATTGATGTTAACGCATCATCCAAACGGCTTGGTGGCTTCCTTTTGCGAATCCAGCTGACAACTAGTTCAAGCAGCATCAAGGAAATGAAAAATGGAGTTGCCTGGAAAGGAAATTGCAGAAAAGAGATGTTATTGCATTCAATATGCAATGCTCCCACATTTCCTCAGTCATTCCAGAAGTGGGAGGTCCAGAGTGATAGCTCATGGAAGGAGAAGGTATATACCTTTCCTAGAGGATCATTTTCTCCCAACAAATAAATTTGATTATTTCAGACATATACTAAACAGGTGCCTCAATTCTATCATCCAATTTGAAAATAAAATGTAAACAGATATAACCATGATAATTATGCCAAGAAAACAAAGATTAGGAGGGAAATGTTTAAATTTAAATCTGAAAAATACATTTTAAAATAAATGCAATAATCAGAAGTTTATTATCTCTATATAACTAAGCTAGACTCACTTTAGGAGTTATCCCTTTAAAGATGTACACAATTCTGGTTTTTCATTTTTAAAATTACAGGAGTGATCAAATTGAAACTGTAGGAACAAAGAATGTTTTTCTGAGTATTTCAAAGAATAAGGCCATTTTAAGTGTTTGAGACATCATTTAAGTTTTATTTATTCAGCTTTAATTTTCTTTTATATAATAGATGTTTTTAGGCTCCACTATCAATGACCAAATATTGGACTAGGTTTGTGTTATAATATAAAAAATAACAATTTATGAAGATACCAATTTACGAAGTACCACAGTTTTTTTTTCTTTCAAAAAGGAGTAATATCAAATCCTGGAATAATTTATGGGTTTCACTCATTTCGAAGCTAATAATGAGTTTTAAAGTTTTCTAAACTGAACTCCCAAGAACATATTCTCTGATGTCATTTTTTTTTTTTTTTTTCTATTTCTGGTCTTAACTAGTAAGCGTTGTAGGAACAATTTTGACAGGGTGGGGAACTTCAGTATTCAAGTTCTAATTCTGGATATTTCCACATTCAATCATAGCCAGGAACCAAAAGTGAAAAGTGCCTCTAAACACTTCAGTTTCAAATGAAACTTGGTTCAAGTTCAAAGTTAGAAAATCAGAGTTGGACTCAGTCAGCTGTGTATCCATTCTGCTGAACTCCTCTACCAAATTAAAGAGGAAATAGTTTCCTAGGAGGAGGTAGACAAGTTTACCCTTAAAAAATAAAATTATTATAAAGTTTACCAATGATATACAGGGCCAAATTACAATGCCGCTGTATTCAGGGAAACTTTTAAGAATTTTGTCATATTCTGGAGTGACATATCAGGGAAGGGGAATTTAATAGGAGAAGATGTTTAAGAGTATCGTATAGAATCCCATTCAAGTAGAAATTCTATTTTTGTTTCATGCCTTTATGAAACAAAATTATTTTTATTGGAATTTAATAATGTGAAGAACGAAAGGATGTGTTTAACTTCTTGTTAAGAAAAAAAGCAAGAGCAGCCTCTTCCCAGATAGTCTCACCTTTTTTACATAATCAGGCACCTCTTCTAGGGTTTGGAATGACGTTTCATTGGGCTTCATCATGTAAAACATCATGCGAACTCCCTGGGAAACCGAAACATCCTGTTGAGCTTCTGGGTTCTTCATTTCTGCCCTTGTCTGAGTCCCAGCTGGAGAATATTTGTGATTCAGTGGTTGAAGCCAGAGACTGAACAAAGAGGACGAGATGTGCTTCACAGAACAAGCCCTTTGTCAGAGAATGGCTAGAAACGAAGCTCCACAGAGAGCTCAGCCAACAGCAGATTCTGTACAGGGAGAAAGGAAAATACTAGGATCAAGGCTGAGTTCGAAGTTCAGAGGGTACTGTCCTAGAACCGGGCACATGGGGGAGGGAAAGGTGAGGAATCATGCCCAAATCAAAGATAAACAACAGAGTTTGGCTGTAGATGGACTGATTTATCATTCAAAAAAGAAACAGACACACACGCAAAATAGTACATGATACCTCCTGGGAAAGGGGAAGAAAAAGAAGTGTTAACAGGTGAAAGTTCAGTCTGAAAAAATGGTTGGAAATTCAAGACTCAAATCACATGAAGAAAACTCTCTTTTTCTCTCTCCCTTTTGAAATTCACATGGTGTTCAAGTTTGTCTCTCCACAATGTCAAAATTCCTGAAAGGACAGGGTCCTCTAATCTCACTTAAAAGTAAATTTGAAAGTCAACAAGTGCTGAATATACCATACTGGTTATTGCCTATGTATTTCTAGATCTAAAGCTATCATGTTAACTTCACAGTGTTTGCAAACCAATTTAAGGGCATTTAGTTTATTACATGCTCTACATTGTTTAATGGAATCTTGACTAGTCACATTTGTATTCTTAGAATTTATGGGGCCTACCTGATTGAAAAAGCTGCCAAGATGTGGCTGTGAGACCTTATCTCTGTTTCCCAGGAAGACCTTAAATTGTTTCCTGTAGGTAGACTAGAGGACACTGATTGCATCACTAGTGAATGAATGGAGCTTTCCCTAATAGTCACAAGCCTTCACCTAGAATAGCTAAAGTCATCTTTTGGCTACCACCTATTTTAAAAATGTTTATGTAGATTTAATTAAATTATTAATACATTATTGTTTGGGGGAAAAAATAGAAACTATAGATAAGCAACACGTAAATTACTGCTCAGAGATGCTATTAACATTTTGGTGTATGTATAGTCAGTTCTGTCATGTGACATGTATGTTGCTAAAAATTACTATACTATGCACAATTCTGCAATAAAAACATCTGGGCTTATGAGCAAAAATGGGATTAGGGTATAATACTGGAAAATTTCATAATGACCCACAAGGAGAAAATATCAGAACTTAAAAATGGGTGGCACAATTTTTACACATGCATGTTATATAAAGAAATACACAAATACTGCAATAATATGGTGCTGTGTCTTGAAAAAGACCTGATATTTGTTTGCATACGTGGGCATTGGAAGAGTTACAGATTGTGAGTTATTGTGGAGTATTGAAAGGAGGCTTACCTGAAGTCGGACAGAAAGTTGTAAACCAGACATGAATATCATGGCTCATCACATAAAGGTGAACTGAGGATGGTGGTAGATGTTAAAGGTGTGTGTGATATGTGTACATTTTGTATATTTCTGTATTCCTGAAACTTTCAATGATCTGGGTGCAACCTTTATCATTCACCTGTTGTTTCTGACTGGCAAAATTACACATAAGCATATATAGTAGCTCGATTTATTCCCCAATATATTAATTCTGTTTGGAACAAATTTGCAGTTTCAAATATTGCAAAACTGACTACGCTTTCAAACAATTCCCATTGCAAATGAACACATATGGACATATATATTTAATAAAAGTGATCAGATTAGGCACAGTGTTTTATTACCTGTTTTTAAAATTGTTTTTCAAAATTACAAACGTAATGCATTACAAGAGAAAAAAATCCAAACGACAAAGTGGTTTATAAAGTAAAAAGCAGCAACACCCTTTCCCCTCAAGACACACACATATCTCTCCCTTCAACTTCACAAAAACAACTCATCCTAGTGGGTATTTTTGCATATCTATTTTTCCTACAAAGTTTAATGTTGTTATCTTTATTATTACCATCAGGCGAATACATTTAAACATATTCTCCTTGTTTGATTTTTGGTAACAGATCATATTAAACATAAGATATAACAAGTTTTCTTCCTAGAGCCAATAACTTATCAAGAACATTCTTCCAATCGGTATATGGTTATGTAGTATTTTTTCCCTACTGGCTGCTGAGGTGTTTGTGTGCATTCCAATCAAGAAAACAGAAGTCATTTTAAGTATTTAAATTAGCAGAATTTAATACAAAGAATTAATTACAGAGATCATGGAAGAGGTAAAAACCAAGCCAGAAAAAAAGAGAAAATCTAGACGGTACTATCAATAGGAAACCACTTGCATCCTTAAGCTATAGGGACAGAAGGAGGAATTTGTATGAGTAGAGCTTAGGGGCTGGGGCACCCCGAGAAAGTTAGAACCACAATGGGCCTGTCTAGCAGGAGCAAAGAAGCAGTGGAAAAAAACTACTGTGGCTCTTCCTTCCTTCCAGTCAATCTCCCAGCACTACTTCCTGTTGGCCTAAATGAGTCAAAAGCCAGATGACAGAGGAGCAGGGAAGGAGAAAGGAGGAGATGGGAATGAATCTGAGGAAAAAGTCAACCAAGGACCATCAAACCTTCATAACCTACTTACCTGTTTCTCTGTTGTTATACAATTAAGTATAGTCTTCCAGTTTTAGGTAATTAGTATAATGCATCAATGAACATCATGGTATAAGTAGCTTGTATATTTGTGCACATTGTTGTATCAAATAGATTCTTTAGCAACGTAATTATGCTGTTGAAGGACATGTAAAATTTATACTTTGAAAGCTGCTGCCACTCGCTACTATCATTACAGTTGTTAGCCTATTGATTGGTTAAAAATGTCATCTTGTTTTAATTTGCATTTACCTGGTGACTTTGATGATCATTTCATTATAGTTATTGGCCATTTGTTTTCCTTTGGTGTGTGATTTATTTTTAAATATATCTTCCACATAATTATATTATATTGTCTTTCCATATTGGTTTATGAGCTATTTATATTCTATATCTTATGTATTTCTCAAATGTGTGTGGCAAATGTTCTCTGTATTTATTTTCTTATAATTTTGTTATATATATGTTGTCATACAGAATCGTAACTTTGTGTGTGCTATTACATTTTTATTTTACTGCTTCTTCCTTTGGGTCTCCTCACTTGTGAATGTTTTCCTCACCAGAATTCTGTAAAAATAATCTATGTTTTCTTCTAGAATATTTACAGGATTTTTTAATTGTTGTTATTCCTTTGGTCACCTGGAGTTTAGATTTGTATTTGGTATAGTCATTATTTCATGTTGTACCTTCCCTATCTGCTCTGGGGAGATCACAACTTTTTCCAAAGCATGAGTTAGAGTCCATACTTTTAAAACTATTCTTCTACATACCTGCACGGTTTCCAGTCTCTCTACTCAGTTCTACGATAAGTCCATTCTTGTGCTGGTACCATGTTGTCTCAATTATTTTATTATCATAATAAATTCCGGTAACTTGAGGAACGACTCAATACATTTTATTTTTCAAAAATTTTAAACTATTTTTTTTAACATTCGCTCTAATGGATCTATTTAGACTAAACTTAAAAGAATTCTATTGGTATTTTAACTAACTTTATTAAATTCATGGATTGATTTGGAAGAATTAACATAACAGGCACTCAGTAAACTTGTCTGGAACAAATAAACACCCACTTAAACTTAGTTCTGTATTTAAATGATGCCAATGCTCACTACCAATCTTTGTACTTATCTTCTCCATTCATTTTTTATTTTTTTTTGTTCTGGTATAAAGTGCAAAGTTAAATTTCTTTTTTTTTTTCAGAAGGTTACATATATAATTGTATATCCTACTATTATTTTTTCTTATCTATATATGGGGAATAACTTAGATGAATATAAAATTTCTCATTCAGAAATTGATTCCTCCAAAATTCAAAGGAGACAAAACACTTTGGAGGACAATCTGTTATGTGAAGATAAGGTATATAGAACAGAGGACTTTAAACCTATTTCTGAACCAGAAAGTGGAAGCTCAAGATAGTTCCAAGTGCCTTTCTGTCTAAATATCTATGTCAGATCTCTGTCTAAAGCTTCCCAGGCCCTGCTTGCAGTCTCTTCTTCTATGTAATTAAAGTGGAAATGCTTGGGGAGAGGCTAATATGAATGGCAAGCATCCCATGAGAATGCAAGACATGAAAACCTGCCACTCTTAGTGCTTTCATCTGCAAATAAGCCGGCACACAAAAAAAGATTTTAGAAGCTTTTTGTATCAAAAAGACATAAAAACAAATGACTATAAATCTCTAGTGACACCTATAACTATAAATTCAGGAAGGAGAAATCGCAGCAATTTGGAACAAGGAAAAGTTAATATAAACAATTGTCAACTACAACAGGGAACTGGAGTAATGAGAAAGTGACTAATTAAAATTAAGGGGACTTGAAAGAATATAGGAATAGTAGTTGTAAGGAGCAGCCACTATCCTCAGGGCTGGACTGAGGAACTTGCCGGAAATCATGTTGAAGGAGGTCATTGAGAGGACGGGACCACCAGTTAACCCACAAGCTGGACCTGGGCAATCAGAGCTCATCATCCCCTTCCCTGTCTTTGGAATGTATGTCTGCCCACCATTCCAACAGCCTATGCCATTTTCAAGGATACAGCCTTGAGAGAGCAATGTGCTGTTGACATAACTAAACCTAGTTAAGGTCTCTATATAAACTTTTAATATTCTGAAGGGTGGGTGTGGAGATCTATCCATCTTGCGGCCTCCCAAGACAACCCTGCTGTATATGTTCCCTTGCTTATTTAAAGTGTCACCTGACAATCTGGAATGATCTGCCTTCGGTATTTCTTTGCACTCCACACATAAGGACGAGTTTCATATTTTACCCAGGAAGCTCCTGAGATTTTAGAACAACAAATCAGCCCTCTAAGATGACTGAGAAAGCTGTTCACCGGAAGTATCTCCTTGAGATACTTCAAAATCACCTGAGTGGGGTGAA